GTGAGTTCAGTCACAAAAGATTTTGAAACAAAAAGAAATCTCGATGTGTCGTTGAGTCAGAAACCTTGCTGGATAGTGGTCGTAGTCCAACAGCGAAAAATAAACCAAATTTCCATATCGTTATGGATAATTGCATTTGATCAGTTTCTATCACTGCATCTACCTGTCTTATTGAATGAAAAATATAAAAGAACAATGTTTGAATACCAAGGTATGGCTGTTGACATGGAGTAGATAACGAACTTATTTGTTCTAGCCTTCTACGGCTCTTTGTCAGCCCTTGCTCGTTTGTTATCAGTCCTTCGGTCTCCGTATTCTACATCACCTATTAAAATGTTCCACCGTTAATATGAAAGACTTTGTAGATCTAATGAATCCCGTCTTCTATGGCTCGTTATCTCTAACAGTTGTTATCAATCATTATCACTGAACATCTATGGTCGCTTCTTAGTCCACATTCCATACTGAAGTGCCAATGCTCCACCGTTAGTACGAAGGACGTAGCGGATCCCTCGCCTTCTAAGGTGCTTTACCGACTCCTCCCAATGGTTATCACCTGTTTTAGATATCATCAGTGTTCTCGTCCTGTTGCCTGTGCTCCTACCAAGTCTGAATGCTCTAGGTTCACGGGGACAGGAGTTATGAATTTGCCACCTAAAATTTTTATCGTTCACGCCCCACCCCCTGTAAACGGAGTTCGGTCCTTCCACCAACCATAAGTGTTCTCCTCCTGCCCCCCCCCCTTTACCGTACTCCGACCAAATTTGAATGCTCTAGGTCCATGGGGACAGTACTTATTAATTTCCGGTCAGACAATTTAGCGAGTTATATAAAGTAGGATGTCCGTGACTGTTGAGGTATCCCGTTTTCTCTTCATTTAGATATCCGTTGCAACAAGATCAATCCGACCACCAAAATGTGGAGTTCGGCAGGATGGGTCATGGGCTTTGATAGTGGTGTTATCAACAGTAGTAGGCACCATTCGAACTTTTGGTTGACCAAACAGGTTGGCCAGCCAGAGAGAAGACGCTGTTCCAGTAAAGCTAACAAAGAAAAGAGCTTGACTATCAGCGGTGTTAGGATTCGGAGCAGTTGATATTTCTCTTTTCTAGAACGCTGGAGGGGAAGGAGCAATATTGATGAAGTAGAGCTCAGCAAAAACACAACCAATGTAGCTAATAAGTGGTTTGTTTACGCTCATGCGCTGAATAAATTCAAAAGAAAGCGACGGGCCAGCCGATCGGTTCCTCTTCGCCGTAGGGTAGAAGGGAATTTCACTGCGGTTTGTTAGACTGGTATGAGAAGGGTAGGCAATGATGAAAGTAAAATGAATGTGGTAGCCAAATTCCAAATACTGCGTAGACAAAAATAGTACCATGCCGCTATCGATCGAAGTAAGTACAGTAGAAATCACAGTTTGAAATACCCACTTCACTCCATATTACTCACTTCAGTCCGCAGTGCTCACTTTACTCCATTAACCCAGTCCGCAGTGCTCACTTTACTCCATTAACCTACCCACAAAGTGACTGTTTTATATATAAGAAGGATAAGTTTCCCATATCACTACCTTTACCATAATCACAAAGTAACCCGGACGGACAGACCGACAAACCGACATGCCGACATACCGACAAACCGCAAACCAAGTTACTGCTTTATATATAAGAAGGATAACTACTGCAGAGCTTCAACCATATCACGGCCACATAAAAAGTGGCTCACTTGTTTGAACACATGGATTGTTATAGGTGCTCTAGAGCCTGCAAATCCGACAGCCAACTGCCCTCGCAATCTGATGCGTCCGTTATATGTAGTATGCCGCTACTAACGCCGGACTCTCGTGGCTCCGACGCTAATATCTTACTCTATGCTCTCTCATAGAGCAAAATACGTTGAAGTCCCTGAATCTAATACTAATAACGCATCATGCACTTCTATTCTTATCGTTGACATCCTCGCGGTTCTAAGATCAATATGGCTTCATCACTTCCACGGTTCTTCTTGCCATTACTTGATTGAAACTTTTGGCTTTTTCGCCATTGACAAATAATCTTCCCACCATCATCTATACCTCTCACCATGACGTTCTGTCGTTGCCACGTTCGATTCCCGACCTCTCCTTCTCACTTTACGATGGCAATTATACCAACTCATTGCGAGAACTGTATTTCATGCATAACTATCCTCCATGTAGTCGCCATTGAACCATACAGAATGTTTCACACTCCAATGTATCAGACGGGAATCTTTTTCCTCTTGAGCTTCTCGGCTTAGGCAACATGCCCACATTCACTGCACAAATTGCAAAACGCTCTTTTCTGTCAGAAACAATCTCTAACTGAATGGCTTCCTACCACAAATATCACGTGATGGCCCAGCGCGCTCTCGAGAGGGCCCTTGGAACAGCTTTTGACGATCTTTTCTAATGTTTGCGTCCCCTCAACGCGTTTCTGCTCAATATTCATCCTCTTCGGGTTAATCTTGCCTATTTGCCCTCACTGAATAGAGGAAGTTGAGGCACTTCTTCCTACATTGTAGGGGAGTAGACACCTACGCGCTATAAAGCTTTCGATTGGTCTCGGGCTTCCATTGATGCTAATTTTGCCTTTTCTAGAGGTCGTTTTCTGTTTCTGGCTGAAGAACGCCAATGAACGCCATCGTCCAATGTCATCGTGGTTCTCTGTATCCTCGAACTTACGCTCACTTGCTGCCCTCTGCAACCCTGAAAAGAGAGAAAGAGAAAAGAATTTTGCAATTCGTGCAATAAATGTGGCCTGTGTATTCGCCTGCTCCTAGAGGGGTTGACCTGGTCTTCAAGTTTTGGACATCAATCCAAGTCTAGAACTCTCTATTTCTCCTCTACTACCTTCCTCAACATTGACAAGTTGGTAAACGACCTCCCAGATCCTTCACGACGTTTCTAGAACATACAGTCCAAGCGGCCTTCTGTGGTAGGCCTCCTGGGTCGTGCAATCTATCGACGTCAAGGCCCATTGTAGAAGGTGACGGCATTCACTTCCTTTTTGAACTTCATTAGACGTCTTAACCTCATTCTATGCTGTCCTTCCTGGATTCTATTCTGTGTTGACACAGTTCACGGTGTCTGCTTGTCACTCATCGCTGAATTGCATCTAACAATACGTTTCACCAATAACTGCTGATTTCTTCCATACTTGAACCGGTATCCCCCTAACAAAAATAGTGGGCAGTGAACAAATACCGAAATATCCGTAGTGCTTGAATAGCTATTCTTAGTGAGAATGGAATCGAATGAAAAGTTTAAAATAATGAATTACGAAGCTCACCGTTTGCTAACGATACCACATCACTGTTGATATAGAAGCTGTCGCTTATCGATCCTGCAGTATCAATGGAAGAGATGACGGAGTTAGGACTGAAAAAAATGCACATGAATAGACTGGAGACAGTCAAGAATGCAAGTGTATATATGTATGCCAATGAACCATTATTATCTTATGTCGTAATAAGATAATAATGGTATCTAATATTACATTATCATTAATGTGTAATATTGAATGATATCGTTATCATCTAATATTACACAGATGTCGCAGAACCTTAACAAAGGAAAGTGAGCAGCATAAGTTTTTTAGTGTTCGGTTGAGTAAAAAGTTTGATCGGAATTTTCGTCCTTCTCTAGATTCTTTAGGAGGGCCATTCGGAAGGACTTTGTAATAGGTTATGGTAGGTGTTCGGTTGAGTAAAAAGTTTTGATCGGAATTTTCATCCTTCTCTAGATTCTTTAGGAGGGCCACTCGGAAGGACTTTGTAATAGGTTATGGTAGACGTTCCAGGGCCTGTAGGGGGGGGGGGGGGGGGGGAAGGGCATATACATATAAACATGACCTTGCAAGTGCTTTGCAATTCTTACATCGTCGACCGAAGTTGTCTTGGAGCTATCGTCTATAGCTAGAAGCTATCGGATCTCAACCTACGGTATGTCGTTGGCGTCAACGCTCTCGTTCAGGCAATATTTTGTCCAAAGATCAACCTCGTTCTGGATGTACCCTTGCCTTGAATGATGAAACTGCGCAAGGATCTAATGGAGGAGCCAAATGCTACTACTCACGATCTGTCGACGGCACTCGGGTGCAATCAGAAAACAATCGTCAACCACCTCACGATTTGAGCGACTCGGACAAAACATCATTGGGTCAGTGTGAGCATTTCTTCGCTTCTTCGTCCACACAGGAGAGATGTCCAAAGTGGTCCGTTACTGGAGACGAGAGCCGGGTCCTTCATGTGAACCATGAGCGACATCGCAAAGGGTTGCCTAGTGGGGAGCCACCTCCAAGACAGCCGAGACAACAAATGGACAACATCAGAAGAAGGGTTTGCTAAGTTGTTGGTGCAATTCTCAAAGCATGCTCTATTTCAAATTCCTTCCTGAAGGTACCACCGTGACCACCAAAAGTTATGCTTTTCAGCTACAGAGTGTGGCCGTGGTTATCCGAAAGAGGCGTCCGTCGCGAGACAATTTTTGTTTTCTTTACGACAACGCTCGACCGCATGTTGCGAAACCGTCGCGTCAGGAAATTGCCGAACTTAGTGAAACGAAATACCTCATCCTCCATTCGTCAGGTCTTGCTCAATCGAATTGCCATATATTTATTGCTCTGAAACATCACCTTCGCGATAAAAAACTTGATGATTGCTCGGGACTCAGAACTGAGGTTTCCAGCTTTTTCGAGTCGCGGCCACCGCCTTTCTGGGTTCAAGAATGGAAATAGGTGTATCGCTGAACATATGTTGTGGATCACGATGAAGACTCTATGACTAATCGAGATATTTTTTAATGAAAATAAGACGTTTTGACATAGAGATGAAAAACCGACCAAAACTCATTACTCAACCTGATATAACTTGTAGCGTTGATAACATTACAGTGCGCTATTCTGAACCCCGCCGATCCTAAAGCCGTAACTGCATTGTAACACATATTCGATTCCCAAAAAGGCACACAGCAAACGGTTGACGTTCTAATAATCATTCTTTTCAAATCATCTATATGGCCCTCAAGGAAGAAGCATCGTGTGATGCGGGAAAAGTTCAGCTCATACAACATTAGGGTGTCGTACCGCACCTACCCAGGGCGCAATGGTCCTGCAAACGATGAAGGAGATTTTAAATCGCTAGCAACGTATCACCTTCCAATGTTGTTGGAGTTAGTGAAGAAATTTTGCATGCCAGGACTGCTTAGTGCAGATCTAGAGACCGGGCTTGTCTCTCGAGGCACCTGTCCCCTATGAAACTGGTTTTGTGACAACGGTGGTGAAGAATTTTGAGTTGCGGGAATCTGAAATCACACAAGACAGTAAAAAACGAAGTGAATTTCATTGAACAATACATGTCTGAACACGGTAGAGGTAGTAGGTTAGGACACCTTTGCGAGCCTCGATGAACACATTTGGAAATTGCGAGTTTCTAAGTTGTCTCTTTAAAGGCACAGTTAAAGATAATTCTGAAGTGCTCAACCTCATTCTGAGCATTTTCGGAAACCGGTAGCGAAAAAGCGGGGAAACCTCCGGGCTTCCAAAATATAAGACTTCTCGAAAGTAGTGAAAATAGAGGCCGTACGACATTTCAGACCGAAATGACATGGAAGGGGTTGCTTGAATTTCCACCATGGGTGAGCCTTGTAAATGGTGCAGCCTATACGGAACTTGGTACATCTCGTCCGCTTTGGCATACAGCCATTACAATTTTCAAACTTACAAGTCATATGTCTTCCTATTTAGACCGTTTTCCGATATGACAGCTCATCATATGTTATACGTGAAGGCCACAGATTCATCCTAGTGGGAGATTAAGAAACCACTGGAAAAAAGAAAAAAGGAAAGACATGCGAGCAAGTAGAGTTTCGGATAGGGCTCAGGCGATCACATCCACACTGTCACAAAACTCATCGAGATACGGCGAGAATACAGTATGCCACTATGTCTGAAGTTCACCATATGAAGAAGGAATTTGATACAGTCAAGACAGAAGCCGAGGACAATCAGAGTGCTTTCTCCCAATATATTACATAAGGATGCCACATGAGCTCTACGTCAACTTCACAAGCATTACTACACCATTCTGCGATGGAGTCGTTATCGATGTGAAGAGACCAGTTTTGCAGCTCTTCAGTGTCACTCCTCATAATCATGCGTTTTTGCGTGGGAAAACCTGTGAGTGAAGTCGACGGCCGCTACTTACATCGACTCCGCCTTGCATGCGACATCGTGTTTATAAAACCAATCATCGAATGAATGTGGAATGATTGGGGTTACGAGCGAGCTCCGTCAAAGAAGGAAGATCGAGGGAACAAATATAGGCGTTACTGGCAAACTCGAAGAAGACGACGAGCAACGCGACGACTGTGATATAGGCGGGGTGATTAGATACAATCAATAATCCATCTAATAATGTCTGTTAATTTCCAACCCTTCGTTTGCTCATCTTCTCAAAAGGCGGGGAGAGAGGCGAATAGGATCAAGTTGGAGCAAGAGGAATGCAAGAAGAAACCACGAGCAGGCAACTGTCCCGTTTTCGACTCAGAGGCTTTTCTCTGAAATGATGGAGTCTACTTTTGAACGACGATATCTCCTACGTTTAGTTTCACCACTCCAAATCATCATCGATCGCTTTCTTTCCTGACAACAGTGTCATCATTACTTCACTTGTGACAGGAATCTTTCTATAGTTGATAAGCCTTTTTTCAAGGAATTTTTCTAACGAATAAGTAGCGTTTGCAAATGTTAAGAAATTTCATTTAGAAGACAGCTAAATGAAATACCCACCTCTAAGATCACCAGACAAGGGCGTAGTAATGCCAATGTGTCCCGAGAGCAGTCAAAATCGGCAACATGGACTCTATCCCAGCTTCATTAACGCAGGCCCTTCCACTCTCTAATAATAACGATTGATCAAGACTCTCAACTGCCGCACCAAAAGGCTCTGGTTATAAGAAATCTGCATCTAGAAACGTACGTGTACCATGTTACTTTTTAGGCCTCAGCAAATTCAATGCTTTCTTCACAATGCCAACTATCCATGCTTGCAGCTACCGCATATCGCACACACCATAATCGAAAGTGTGTTGAAATGTGTGATATTGCTCATCACATTCCTTGAAGGCACCGCCTGACAATTTTGGGATATCTAGTTATAGATGAGTAATGGCAGGGATAGTCCAGAATAGCAAAAGTGGTAAAGAGAACGCAGAAATCTGTGTATTCAGAGAAATATAGGATTTAACCAAAGTAATAAAGTTAAGTATAGGTCAAGAACGTGGCCACAAAGTTGCACATAAGTGTACTCGGGAAAGCTGTCCAAATACCCCTTTGGAAACTTTTTGCTGAATACAGGATCGAAATTACCGATCGTTTGTTAAAAATCCGGTTTCGGCTCACACAATCGTGAGCTCAACAGTTTATTCACCCTGTCTGTGGAGATGAAGTCGTCGATTTGCTCACAAATAGGCGACTCGTCTTCGTTATCTTCTAGAATTGTCGCGCAGCTTTTCGTCGTCCCTCCTTCGAACGAGGTTATTCGACTATCAGGAGTACCCAAGAGTGGAGCAATTGGCATACGATCTGCAAAAAATCAAGGATAACAACTGATTGCTCTCATATGAGTTGGAAAAAGCGTACCAGAATCTAGCCCCAATCTTCACATTACAGCCATCTCAATGTGATTACCACGCGATGTATGTGGTGTAATCATATGGTACCAACAGTTTGATCATTATTCTAACACAACACACTACCGTCTGCCTATATGTGCGTCTGTCTGTCTGTCTGCTGTCTGTCTGCTTGCATGCTTGTTTGTCTGCCCCCTCGAAGTTCGATTTACCAGAATAAGCATTTGACTGGTTGGATCATGTATGGTATGGGTCGACCGTAGAGAAAGGTCACCAAAGCACATGTGAGCATAGCGGAGCTCTGCCCACGGGGTAGACGTGCACAGTACTGTGCAAGCTTTCTTTCCGGGGAATTCAGCAAATGTGAGGGATGGGATGGCAAATGTGAAGGAGACCCATCACGGCGGGAGGAGCGTTGTCACAGTAGGCAGTACAGAAATCAAGTAATGTATGTAGAAAACTTGCCAAGACAATCGCACGATGCCTGTGAGTTGCAAAAAATAGAAGTTTGAAATGGTCGTACACAAATATAAAAGAACAGAAATAAGCAATGAACTCACATCGGCTAGCGTTTAGAGGAACGATCAGAGTCCTACCCTGATGTGCTCGACGTGGGGGCGGAGGACTGTCCGATGACACGATACATTGGAGTGTAGGCTAGAAACAGCCTTCTCATGTGATGCGATTACGACATTTGTATAAAACACTTGATTGGTGTTTGCTGTTTGTTCCTGCCCGCCCAGCGACCATGTTTCTGTTTGTTCGCAATTCAGTGGCTACGCGATCAAGGAACAGGGACAGGACCACGAGCCCGAGCGCTTGAAAAGTCTTGAAATCAGCTTTGCTTTTCACTTAATCTAGGCAACCTTTCACGTGAGTTTTGGGTTGCATGATACATTTGGACAAGTCAGAAAGTACGGTAAGCCGTGCTCTTCTCTGTTTGGTGTGAAGCTCGTTGCCCGAGTTCCTTCCACGTTTGGAATCTCTGGTACAGGAAAACAGAGGGTGAATTATCAGCCAAACTTGCGCACGAACACAGCAGACACACTCCGTGAGCGTCTTCTCCGTTATGAGCGGAGACCTAAATTCCTATACTGCTGCCTGCTTCCCGATTCATCTATACTCCTAAGAAACTCGAACGCCTAACCCTATGCCCAGGGACGGAGTTTAATCCTGAGACATATCATCAGTGTTTCCATCCTGCAGCTTGTACTCCTATCAAATTCAAACGCATTAAGTCCAAACTGGCAATTTTCGCTCATGCTTCGCCCACTGTGCACGAAGTCTAGCCCTGCTATGATACTTACCATCTGTTCTCATCTTGCCGCCTCTGCTTTGCCAAATTTGTAACCCGTTTTCTTTTCTTTCTTTTCTTTCTCTTTTGTAATTTGTAAGTGAGATGTTTACGGCTACATAGTTGTCAACATTAAACTTCCATGCTGTCAGAAATTAAGTCAATGAAGCGAAGCTTCAAAATTAAAAAAGGCAGTTCTAACCCGTGTGAGTGCCGGAATTCCGTTAGACTGTTGCGAGGAAGTTGGAGTGACTATAAGAGGTGACAGTGTATCGAATTCGTCGTCGATCTGAGCCAACATCAAAGCGAGGAGCCCTTTCTGAAATTTAGCACCTTAACGAAGGCACGAAGTTTCCAAAGACGTGCTGGTTTGTGACTACATTGTTGAATGGTTTTGCTAGCTGAAAAGAAAACATGTTCTGTAGAATAGAATAAGTTAAGGGCACGGTTCACGATAAAAATGATTTCTGAATTTCCCCTTTAGCAGTACCCAGTAGCCGTCAAGGGTAACAGGATGAATCCTCTCGTGCCCGAAAACTCATTAGTTATGGCATAGAGGGAGCCCGTTACCGGATTGCCGGGACTTCCCACCCCTCGACCGATGCACGTCAGACGAGTGTCGAGGCGATACAGATTGCAATGTTCGCTCTAGGACACAGACACAATCGCCTAGTAATGAGGTGATGTTTTCTCCTATTCTTTTATTCTCTGTTATTCTTTTTGCTGTTGTGATCCCTAATTTGATTTCTAGCCCACGAGGCCGTAAAAGAGGGGCATTTGTTGCTGTTGCTAACTTTTTTGTTACGTTTTGCTTATAAGTGAATCAATTTCAGATACATTTTCGCCTACTGTAGTTAGCTTCTAGCACCAGGACCCTCACATGGGAAATGACCCACGTTGTATAGCTCGTCCAAACGCCCATTCTTCTTCATTTTTCTGTTCTTCCTCTAGACCAGCCCCCTTTTTAACGATTTTTTAAAGCCTTCTATCAGTTTCGAAACGCGGAATCGCGCACTTCATTCGACTTCATCGCATTATCTTCCACGTTATCTTCCATTTTTCGTCATAATCTGGATTACCCAAAATTATCGTGGACTGTGGTTTTAAGTTACTGATACTTCTTCAATTTGATGGGTCCTATGCAATTCGCTGGTAAAGTGGAATGGGCGCATAAAGAGCAAGGAAAGGGCAAAAATGGGAGGTGTATAGGCCGAGAGCTAATAAAGATTTAAGCAAGGAAAATATTCATTGCGATCGTTTAGGTTTTTATAGATAGCTGCTTAGGTTTTGATAATTGATAAGATCAGACGCAAGAAGTCGAACTTAAATGCCCAGAAACTGGACAAACATAATCAAATGGCGAAAATAAGCATTTTATTAAGATTTTGAAAGTATAGCTTCGCGCTTACCTTACAGATCACGTCTCGACGAGAATATGGGCTACCAGGTGATTTTTTCTTAGTACGTGAGCAACAAAACATAGTAGGCACACAGAGATTCTAAATGGATTCTAACATCGGAACACATCAAGAGTTTGACATAAACAGCTCAAAATGCCCATTAAACCATCATTATTGAAAGAAATTGTAGTCGGAATAGAGGCGGAATTAATTGGAGGGTGCGGCACTACGAAAGTACCAAGTATAGAGTAAAGTTATCGAGAGGGCAAATAATTAAACACTGTTTGATCAGCGCTATAATCGATAGCTCCGACCCTTGAACGGGGCGAGGGGCAGAGGGTGTGGAGGGGGGAGACTCAAGCGTTTGCTTCATTCGTGGAGCTTTAATTCAACCCAACATCTTCTGAATGGAATGTTTTGTTTCGTTCTAAAGGCCGTCCTATTAAAAGAGTTGAAGAGTTGATGTAGACGTATGCAATCTGAAAGGCCGGTGTTCCTCAAGTTTTTCATGTGTTTTAATGGCACCATAGCAGTTTCCGAGAGTTTGTCGAAGCATGGGATCTCTCAAACAATTCTCCACGTGATCTGATCTAAATCTTTTCGTTCACTTTATAGAATCACCCATAAAATGAGTTCGCTGTTTGTTGTCACGCACGCACTGCAGTCCCTCCCTGCCAGGAATATGTATGGATTTCTACATTGTCGTCGGCGAAGCGTAACCGTTGTTTTCACCGCAGAGGCATTCAGTAGCATTAGTCCAAACATATTTCATCTTGTATAATAAATATACATATTCAGACCCCCTATCCACCACAATTTGCGTCTAGTAATTAGGCAATGACACAAAACCAGACAAAGCGTTCAGTAAGAATCATCACAAGGCTGAGCACTAGTTTAAACCACGCAAATGCCCCACAGATAGAAGAAAATCGGGGCTGGCCATGTTGCAATACAAAGCTAGCGGTTACAATTGATCATTTTATATGTCACCCAAACGCCACTGGCGGAGGCAATTGTTCGTAAAATGTGTTCGTGGGCTTCTATAATTTATAAATGGAGTATGAAACCGGAACGAAATTCCAAAGGGTCGCAGAAAAGAGGTCTTTGGAGAGGAAGACATGAAAGACTAAATAGGAAGAAGAGGCCACGGAAGGTCCCTCCTTCCCATTGTGTTCCAAGAGGAAACTCACGGAGGTTAATTCTCTGAAGCTGAATATTTTTCGAATATTCTACACTTATTTACGTGCCATGAATAGTGGGAGAATGTTCACTCAGGGGCATGTTTCGCAATGTTGCTTCGCTGAGGGACACTTACAAAGGTTTGTGATGTGTGACTACTATAACTTATGAGACTTCCGAAGTAGACTATGTTGTGATTGGGTGTGAAAATGGACAAAACTAAACAAATGACAATAACGATGAAGCACATTACGTGGGTATGGGGAGGGGGTATGCTAGTCGATGGATGAGCAGGGTGCGCCCATAACTCCCACGGGTCCGCTAAAGGACAGCCGTAGGAACGAGGAGCGAGAGGNGATGAGCAGGGTGCGCCCATAACTCCCACGGGTCCGCTAAAGGACAGCCGTAGGAACGAGGAGCGAGAGGCTTGCCTGATTCAGCCACAAAAAGTTAGTCGGAGAACTGAACTGCCCCTTAGAGAGTCGAGTTGTTCGCGCAGGGCAGAGCGGAGAAAAGCGCAAATGCATAAGGGTTGTTGTTCAATAACGGTTCACAGACGATCTCGCACTGGTGAAAGGCCTGAAAATGAGCGATTCCACTCAAAACAATTTTATTCATATTCAGCTACCTCGGCCTGAACTAAATGATAAGTCAGAAATTGCAAGTACTGCCTGAGGTGTCTTTATGATAGTGCGATCAGGAATTTGCTCCACTTGTGCATGTTGCCGGAAATTCGGAAGTGGAATTTTTCCCATTCCTCTCGTTGCGATCTGGCGGGTGCCAGGGAAGGCCACTATCTAATTCCTCTCGCTCCTCGTTCCTACGGCTGTCCTTTAGCGGACCCGTGGGAGTTATGGGCGCACCCTGCTCATC